GAACTCCTAGGATCAATTAATCCTTCTGTCTCACCCTTTTTAACTAAATCTGGGACTACAGGCATGCACTACCATGCCCATCTCAATGTCTTATGTTTTAAAAAGCCTAATTTTTTTTCCTGACATCAACAAGGATACATTCCAATGATTTTGGAAGACATGGATGTCTTAGCAGCATTGATCAGGCAATCTCTTCCCAGTTCATCTGTGTTAACAATTAGGTTTTCATTGATATAACGCACTGCTTCCCTGTATAAAAGCGTGGGGGAGACAAAGGCTTGTAAAGTCACTACTCAAACTCTTGTGTTCATCATGCTTAACAGAGCCAAAATGTCCTAAGATCTGTTCAGCCATTTCATATAGGAGGAGGACACGAAAAAACCCTCCCTCTTCAGATCATGGCAAATTTAATCTATCCCATAAGCATAGCCACTAAAATCTATTATTAAGAGAAAATGTGGTAGTCAAATGGGAAAAAAAGATACTGATCCAAGTTTCTAATGACAAATATTACTACTTAAATACTGTAACACTTTTTTCAAATTAAAAATCAGTTATTAGTCAAAACATTAAGACAACACACTGTTACAACTATTACATCAAAAAATTTTTCTCTGAATGTAAACAATCTTACTTGCAAGCAAGTCGATAGCCACTAATAACTGAGGTGGGATGAATTTTCTGTTTGACTAATTCATCTGCATTTTTTAGGAGTTCTGCTGCAATAATAACCTGTTGAGAAAACATTCATTGATCTGAGTATGCCTGATACTGAACATGTGCAATACATATGAAATGACACTAAAATTGCCATATATTAACCAGAATGGTGGTGGGTAACTGGTTAGTAGAAACCTGGGAGGTGGGAGAACTCTACAAAACACTTTAAATCCTCAAGGTTATTTACGAATTCTTGGAAACTGCCACTTTAGGCAAAATAACGGACAGCAATTTCTCAAATATCAAATACCAAATACAGCTATTTACTGTAACACTGATGGGGGAGGAAAACTGCTTTCTTTTTTTTTACAAATCATCTTTTCTCTTAAAGTCAGTTTCCATGACTCTATTGTCAATGTTCAGTGAGGGCTTACTGTATTACATGTAGATGCAAATGGCCAAAACTGGATTGAAGCCAGAAAAAAGGTCTAAGAAACTAGTTCAGCAGTACAACACACCCATTACCTTTAGAGACTGAGTGCTCAACAGAAGCTAAACTGAGTTTGACTAATCATATGATCTATATTAGGCTCTTATTTGGCTTATTTTTAAAAAACAGTTCTTGTAAGCTGATATGAAACACTAAGAAATATTTTCACACTAAAAAGACTTAAAATCTTTCAGCTTCTTATGGGGGGAAAACTACAGTATTTGTTAAGTCACATTATCATAAGTTAGACAAAGATCATATTCATATTTTAGGAACAGATTCCATTCTTTCATGGCTGAAGTTTAATCTAGAAATTCAATTTCTCCACAAACTATCTCTTGTTTCTCCAGAATTAATATCTTTCTCACCAAACAAAAGGGTTTCTACTATACCAAAGTATTGGATGATCTATGAAGAGTACATACTGTATATCGTTTACCGACTCGGTAAGATCACACCGTCAAATCATGATGTATTAATTTCTCACACTCCCATTATGAATTCCTGAGATTACCTGTCAGGATTTAAAAAATAAAACAGGCTGGGTGCAGCAGCTATGCTCATAATCCCAGCACTGTAAGAGTCTGAGAAGGAAGGAAGGATCACTTGAGGCCAGGAGTTCAAGACCAGCCTGGGAAACATACCGAGACCCTGTCTCTACCAAAACAAAATTTTTTATTAAAACGAATTAGTTGGTTGAGGTGGCATATGCCTGCAAGCCAAAGCACTCTGGCAGACTAAGACAGAGGGATTGCTTGAGCCCAGGAGTTCGAGGCTGCAGTGAGATATGACAAGACCGCAGGACTTCAGCCTGTGCTACAGATGGTCTCTTAAAATAATAATATAAAAACACTGCCCCCCCACCCACCCTGCCAAATTGGTAACATTTTGTCCTCCAGATAATTAGAAAAGTTCAGAGCTTTCCAAATCTCAAAGCCTGGTGGAAGGAAACAAGAGGAGGAAACAAGACTTTTGAGAGACCATAAAAAATATGTGTGTTATCTGAAGACCAACATTTAAAACAACAGGGCTATGTTAAATGAACTCAAATTCTTTTCTACTTAAATTGTACAAACTAGCTACAACTATCAACTTACAAATTTTGTTTCTGAATCTGCATCTGAGAAACTTATTTTCCCTCTTAAATGCATAACTTCTTTTGTTTTTTCTTTTTGCTCAGTCTTCTGGGCATTTAGAATATATAACTTATTTCTGACACAGCACAAATGACCCACTTACAGCTTCAACTCTGGAAGTCGTTTTTAGAAAAATGGTCATTTTTTTAGCCCTTCTACCTACCACTGAGGTAGTTCCATCTCCAACTTCTTTGTCTTGCAGATCAGCCAGCTCACAAAGAACTTTAGCTGCAGGATGTTCTACCTCCAGTAACTTCAGGATGGTTGCACCATCGTTAGTAATGGTTACATCCTAAGAAATCAGCAGGAAAAAATATGAACCACTTATAGAAATCAACACAGCCCCATTCTAATACACGTTCACCTTTAATATCACCTTCCAGTACCTGGATTCTGATAAAAATCAAAGAATAAACGTAACAAAACACTGAAGATAGTTTTACTTGAAGGCAACCAACACAACAGTTACATGTACTTACACCAATATCATCCACCAACATTTTATCCAAGCCAACTGGACCAAGGGAACTTTTTACAATATTGGCAATCGAAGCTGCAGCCATAACTGTAAACAAAACAAAACAGAAAAAAGAGAATCATCCATAACTCTCAAAACATAATTTCAGCCTAAAGGAGGTAAATGACATCCAACAGCCCCTGTATTTCCCCAGTCTACACACCTTTGTTAATTGTTTAAAAACCAACTACTAAGAGTCTAAATGGGGCCGGACATTGTGGTTCCCACACCTGTAATCCCAACACTGGATCAAGCGGGAAGATCGCTTGATGCCAGGAGTTTGAGGCCGCCCCGCCAATACAACGAAACTTATTTCTACAAAAAATAAAAATTAAAAAAGCTAGATGTGGCGGCGCGGGCCTGTACTGCGAGACTGCAGTGAGCTACGATGGCACTCCCGCCTGGGCGACAGTGGGACCCCGTCTCTAAACAAAGAGAGCCTGTTTGGTAAAGCTTTGATTGGCAGGCACGGATCTGATGGTGGGAGAACTAAAAAAAAAGTAATAACCACAATTTTCATGCTCTGCCACTTCGTACACCTATACCTGCCTTTTCCTTCAGATCCCGCAAGTTTCTGCTCATCTGTGAGGAAGAAAATCGGTAGTTCAATGGGGGAGCTAGTTGGCGCTGCAGTCTCCTGGGGTCAACGCACTCGAGTAGCGCTTCCTAGGCTAACCACACTGTAAGAAACTGTCAACGGGGACAGAGCTGGACGCCGAGCGCCCGACCTCGACGGCAGCTGCGGGTGGACAGGGCACCGGGCTCTTCCGAGGGCACACGGGTCGACCTACTCTTTTCTGGGAAACCTAGCGTCTAACACGGACGCTCAGGGGGTTGCTCTTGAACAAAAGGGGGTGCGAGGCGTGGCCCGCACGTGCAAGCCCGGGACGCCCGGCTTTGGCGCGGAGAGGCACGTTTCCAGCGCCGCCCCGACACCACACCCACGCGGTGCCGGTCTCAAAACCCCGCCGCGCGCTCCTGGGCTCTTCCCCGCTGAGAACGGCGGGTGGGCCGGTCCGGCCGCTGTGCCCCGGGGCCCCTTTTACGGAGGTAAAGAAGGAGAGGCCCAAAGAGGGCAGCCGCGGGCTGGTAGCGGTGGGACTCCGCCCGCCCGGCCAGCGAACCCGACCCACGCCCGGCCTGCACTTACCGTTCTGGGATCGGATCGCCTCCCCAGTGCTGCGGTCCCCGAACACGGACAAAGGCCCCTCCATTTTCACGACGGCAGTATACGTCGAATTCTGCTCACACCGGGGCGAACCAGTATCGCGGCCCCTCGGCCGACCGGCGACCACAGCAGTGGCGACGATGGTGTACAGCGGAACCGAGCGAGGCCTCGAGAGCTGCTGGGTAACACCGCCCCACCCGCTTCCCGGCTGCCCCGGCCCAGCCGCGGGGCACGGCGGGAAAGCAGAAGAGGTTTGGGCAGCAGGTAGCGAAACGGGACTGTGACGACGGAAGTTAGGAGCCCGGAAGGGGCGGGCTCCGCATTTTTGTCCAATTAGATAGCCGGTGGGAAGGGCGCGAAATCGGAGAACGGAAGTCGAATCTTGCCCCGCTGGGAAGAGGCTGAACTTTCGCCTCAATCAGCGTTGCGCAGACGCAGTGGGACATTCTAGTGCCTTCTAGAAAAGATTGTAGGAAGGGTGGAGCTTGGAGTTGCGGCGTAATGGGAGGGGCGGGCCCTTCTCCAAACCAAAGCCGGGGTTCTGAGCGAGTCTGCCGTCTTAGCTTTCGTGTATTTTCCTTGTCCCTACCCGGAGAGCATGAGGCAGATCCGCCGGGCTCCAGGCCTCAGGAGCATAAGTTCAGGGGCACAAACCTGGGTGAGAGCAGGCAGTTTTTCCAGCCGGCCAAACGGGAAAATTTTTGGTTTGAGGAAGACAACCATCCTTTTTTAAGGAGAAAACTGCATCTTGCCCTGCCTGATTTCTATGCGGTGCCCAGTTGGGGTGTTTGTGGGCCAGGCAGTGACCGCCCAAACTCTCCGAACAGAGAACCAAAATAAGGTGACGTGAAGCAGTGAGCACCTTTGATCCTGAACTTAAGCAAAACGCGTGGTCGTGGGCGTTGCTACGAGGTGGTTAGTGGGCTCCAGGCCCTGCGTGCCCCTCGACGTGAGCGGTGATTGGCGGTGCGGGATAACGGATCGCCCTCTTGGCCACTCAGTGGCAGGGGACTTGCTGCTTCCGGGTCGAGAGCGTCTGGCGTGGAGATTTCCGGGACCTGCAGGAGCCGAAGGCTTTTCCCTCACTGGATATGGCTGCGGCCGGCGAGCGACCCAGTCGTCCGTGAGGAAAGGGAGGCCAGGCTTTTCCGAGATCGTCTCAGCGATGGCGCTTCGGTCGCGGTTCTGGGGGTTGTCCTCGGTTTGCAGGAACCCTGGTAATTGGTCTTGTCCCCCTTCTCCCAGCTCAGTCGCCAGGGCTTGCGCAGTACATTGGAACGTGCGGGTTGTGTTGTGCATGCGACGTGCCGGATCGAAAGGTGTTGGCGCTCACGGTCCTAGGAGGACCACAGCAGGAAGTTAGGGACGGGGTCCGTGCTGACTCCACCCCGTGGGCATACTTGTTTTTCGTCCCCCTTCCCGGGCCTGAAGATTCGGGGTGTGAATCGGGGTAGACTTGAGAGCAGGTGCGTGCGCTGTCCGTATCCGTCATTTTTAAGCCCCTTTCGGTTGTTTCCGTGGCCCAGGGTGCGGGTTCGCAGCTCTCTCCACCAGCTCCAAGCCAGCGGCGACACCTGAGGTGCACCCCGTGGAAAACGAAGCTGTCGCCCCAGAGTTCACCAACCGGAACCCCCGGAACCTGGAGCTCTTATCTGTAGCCAGGAAAGAGCGGGGCTGGCGGACCGTGTGGCCCTCCCGCGAGTTCTGGCACAGGTAATTAAGTTGCTTGTGATTGACAGAGCAGGGCACTGCACTCTACGGACTGTTTTCTTTCATTCATTCATTCATTCATTCAACGCCAGGCACTCCCAGGAAGCTACCCTGCGGAGAGTAGAGGTGGGGTTAGCGGAGGGGCTGAAACAAACAATAAATAAGTGTGATGGGGGATATTTAAAGAAGATGTTAGAATAGAGGACGGGGTACCTACTAAGGCCTGTCTGAGGAGGTGACATTTAAAAAGCTGAAATCTTACAGGAAGAAGCTGAGTCATGTACCAGGAAGAGCACTCTAAGCTGAGGAAACTGCAGGGGTGAGAATGAGCTGGGGTGTTAAGGAACTGAAGGGCTTGTGGTTCTGAAGTTAAGTGAGCAGAGGGTAAATGGCCTAAGACGAACATGGAGGGGTAAGGAGGAGACAGATCATTAGCTTTGTAAATCAAGATAAGCACTGTAGTGTTTATTTTCACCGTAGTGGGACACTACAAGAGGATTTAAAGCTTGAGTCAGAACTGGTTTTTAAAGATCATTCTGGCAGGGCCACAATGTCTAATGTCTGTAATCCCATCACTTCGGGAGGCCGAGGCAGGCGGAGCATCTGAGGTCAGGAGTTTGAGACCAGCCTGGCCAACATGGTGAAACCCTGTCTTTACTAAAAATACAAAAATTCAATTTTTAAATAATCTGAAGGCTAAAAATCTTTGAAACACCCAACTTATTACTTTCTTTTTTCTTTGTTTTTGAGATAGGATCTGGCTCTGTTGCCCAGGCTAGAATGCAGTGGCATGATCTCTGCTCACTGTAGCCTTGACCTCCCCAGCCTCAAGCAATCCTGCCACCTCAGCCTCCTGAGTGGCTGGGACTACAGGCGAATGCCACTACTACCACCTAATTTGTTTTGTTTGAGACAACATCTGGCTCTGTCACCCAGGCTGGAGTGCAATGGTATGATCTTGGCTCACTGCAACCTCCGCCTCCCAGGCTCAAAACAATTCTCCCAGCTCAGCCTCCTGCACGTCTGGGATTGCAGGCATACACCACTATGCCCAGCTAATTTTTTTTTTAGTATTTTGTAGAGATGGGGTTTTGCCATTGAAAAGGCTGGTCTCGAACTGGTGAGCTCAAGAGATCTGCCTGGCTTAGCCTCCCAAAGTGTTGGGATTATAGACATGAGCCACTGCACCTGGCCCCAGTGTATTACTTTCACTTCATATTTGGATCATTTAAACAACTAGAGGTGTGTTTTCTCATTTTTTTCTCTGCCCTACTCACAATATTAACAGTGGAGAATTTTAGAATATTATAATAGAAAATGACCTTGACATAATGAATTGGGCCCTTCCTTGAAATGGTTTAGGACAGGGGTCAGCCAACTATGGCCTGTGGGCCAAAGGTATCTTGTGAGCTAAAAAATTGTTTTTACTTTTTTAAGTTAAAAAATATTAAAAGAATAGTTTGTGACTTGTGAAAATTAAATGAAAATGAAACTTCAATTGTCCACAAAGAAAGTTTTCTTAGAACATAGCTGTACCCATTCTCATTTGTTTACAGATCAACGGGCTGTTCTAGTACTGCAATGGCTGAGTTGAACAGTTTCAGCAGAAACTGTATGGCCTACAAAGCCTAAAATATTTACTGTCTGGCACTTTGTAAAAAAAGATTAGGCCGGGCGCGGTGGCTCAAGCCTGTAATCACAGCACTTTGGGAGGCCGAGGCTGGTGGATCACGAGGTCAAGAGATCGAGACCATTCTGGTCAACATGGTGAAACCCCGTCTCTACTAAAAATACAAAAAAGTAGCTGGGCATGGTGGCACATGCCTGTAATCCCAGCTACTCAGGAGGCTGAGGCAGGAGAATTGCCTGAACCCAGGAGGCGGAGGTTGCGGTGAGCCGAGATCGCGCCATTGCACTCCAGCCTGGGTAACAAAAAGTAAAACTCCATCTCAAAAAAAAAAAAAAAAAAAAAGATTGTTGACTCCTGGTTTAAGAGACTGTGATTTTTACTAGAGCCACCAGGAAAACCAGGAGTAGAATCCATATTTCTAAATCTAATGGCTTTTCTATTTCACATTAAGAATCCTAGTGAGACTCTTCTGATTTGGGTGTGTTTTCTTTAACTTAAACTTAACTTTCTAAAGTATAATATGTATATATGTTATAAAATCCAAAGGGAGTACCGTTTCTTGTGTGTCCTTCTAGATAGAGACAGTCTATGCAAATAGGCAAAAACTTTAAAAAATGATAAATCTGAGCATACCATAAACACGTTGGCAACTTCCTTCACCACCACCCTCAACCACCCCAAGCATGCACTTAAAAATACATCTTGGAGATTGTTCAGGGCAGTTAAGAGCATTGACTCTGGAGCCACACACTGGGACTTAAACCATGGCTCCATTACTTACTAGTTCTAATCATTTTCAAGTTACTTAACCTTTCGGTGTTAGTTTCTGCAGCTTTCGAAAAACTAGTAGAATTGAGACATAAGCTATATTTACAAACCTAACAGTTTAAGACAGGCCTGGCATATAGTAAGTGCTCAGTAAATGTTAACTATTGTCATCATCATTATAAAGCATTATTTCATTCATTTCATTAACTATATGGAATACTATTGCATGGATTTTACTTAACTGGCCCCCAGTGGATGATTATCTTTTATGATTACAGTGTTGCAATGAATTGTCTTGCCCACATATTTTGTTAGTGAGACTGGGCATATTTTTACGAGTTTGAGTCATTAATATTTTTCTCTGTGAACAGTCTATTCAGATAACGCTTTGCCTTTGAAGTTTTGTTTTTATATTTTTGTGACAAGGTTCTACTCTGTCTCCCAGGCTGGAGTACAGGGCATGATCATGGCTCACCGCAGCTACAACCTCCCAGGCCCAAGCAATCTTCTCCTCTCAGCCTTCCAAATAGCTGGGACTACAGGTGCATGCCACCATGCCTGGCTGATTTTTTCTATTTTTTTCTGTAGAGACAGTGTCACTATGTTTTCTGGGCTGGTCTTGACCTCCTGGGCTACAGCAGTCCTCCAGCCTCAGCCTCCCAAAGTGCTGGGGTTATAAGCGTGAGTCACATACCCAGCCTAAAATATTTTTTGTTTCATTGCTTTTCTTTTGACTTCATTTTACTTTTTTTTTTAACCATGCAGGAAATTTTGTCCATCATTTCTTTTTCATGCCATATGAAGAGCTGGGCATGCTGGCTCAGCCTGTAACCCCAGCACTTGGGATGCTGAGGTGGGCAGACTGCTTAAACTTAGGAGTTGGAGTCCAGCCTGGGAAACATGGTAAAACTCTGTCTCTACAAAAAAATATAAAAATTATTAGCTGGGTGTGGTGGCATGCACCTGTAGTCACAGCTACTTGAGAGGTTGAGGTGGAAGAATGGCTTGAACCCAGGAGGCAAGAGGCTCCAGTGAGTCAAGTTTGTGCCTCTGTACTACACCCTGGGCGACAGAGGCAGATCTTGTCTTTAAAAAAAAAAAAAAGGCCATATGAAGCTGGGCCCGGTGGCTCATGCCCATAATCCTGGTGCTTTAGGAGGTTGAGAAGGGAGGGTCACGTGAGGCCAGGAGTTTGATACCAACCTGGGCAACATGGTGAGACCCTGTCTCTACAGAATAAAATTAAAATTAGCTTGGTACAGTGGCATGCACCTGTAATGCCAACAACTTGGGAGAGTAAGGCTGAAGGGTTGCTTCAGCCTAGGAGTTTGAGGCTACAGTGAGCTGTGGTTACACTACTGTACTCCAACCTGGGTGACAGAGTGAGACCCTGTCTCTAAAACATAATGAAAGCCAGGCCGGTGCAGTGGCTCACGCCTGTAATCCCAGTACTTTGGGAGGCCGAGGCAGGTAGAACTCCTGAGGTTGGGAGTTCGCAACCAGCCTGACCAACATGGAGAAACCCTGTCTCTACTAAAAATACTACAAAATTGGCCGGCGTGGTGGTGCATGCCTGTAATCCCAGCTTCTTGGGTGGCTGAGGCAGCAGAAGCGCTCGAATGCGGGAGGTGGAGGGTGCAGTGAGCCAAGATCACTCGCCATTGCACTCCAGCCTGGGCAACAAGCGAAACTCCATCTCAAATAATAATAATAAAAGCGATATGACATGGTTTGATGTCATATTTAAATATGCTTACCCTGAGATTATAAAAACAATTCCCATGTTTTCTTCTAGTACTGTTATGATTTCAGTTTTTACATTTAAATTTTTGCTCCATCTAACATTTATTTTGGTGCTAGCTATAAAATAAAAGCAAAGAGTAAGTATATCCACATCATGCATATGTTTAGTAACTTAGCTCTGCCTCTTCAAATCCCTTTTTGAAGTAGATACATAAATAAAACAGTTCTTCAGAAGCATATGTCTTCATGATTCTTGAGGTTAAGTGGAACTATTTAGTTTGTTATTATTGAGGATATTTTCATAAAGGCGGAGGAAAAACTTTTCCCAAGCAAAATCCAAGTTAAATATGTTGAAGTAAATTAACCAAACACTGGATTGTTGAAAAATATTTAGTCATTTATTCACCTGAATATAACGTTAAGATACAGATTATTTTATAATTTTATTATCTTCTCACCCCATTTAGGTTGCGAGTTATAAGGACTCAGCATCATGTAGACGCATTTGTGGAGCATCAAAATGGCAAGGTTGTGGTTTCGGCATCCACTCGAGAATGGGCTATTAAAAAGCACCTTTATAGTACCAGAAATGTGGTGGCTTGTGAGAGCGTAGGCCGAGTGCTGGCACAGAGATGCTTAGAGGCAGGAATCAACTTCATGGTCTACCAACCAACGCCATGGGAGGCAGCTTCGGACTCGGTATTTTTGTTTTCATGTACTTATTTAAAAGGTATTATGTTAATTCTTGTCATTAGGTAACTTACATAATAATAACAGTTTTTATTTACCAAGTACTTTTCCATGTGTCAGACCCTTTGGTGAGTACCTCGACAGTGTTACTTCATTTAATCTTCACATCAGTTCATAGGGTAGGGACTGGTATTCCCAATCTGTACAGAATAAACTGAGGCTTACTTGCTCCGAGACAGTGTATGGTGGATTTCAAACCCAGGGTGACTGATTCTGTAGCCCATGATGTCAGCCACTGTGTTTCCTGTTCATATGCTGACATCTTGTCCGTATAATACTTTGAAATGCTGCTGAACCTTGACATCTCTACGTTTCCTTTGTCCTTACCTATGTTATTATTAAGATCACTTTCTGAGAAACCATTGTAGGCTGGGAAGGTAGCAAGAACAAATTAATTTGTCTTTTGGAAAGTGAAAGTATGTTCAGCCTACTTGTGGTGCAGACTTATCTTTTCCTTTTTTACTGATCTTCAAACCCAGATGAAACGACTACAAAGTGCCATGACAGAAGGTGGTGTGGTTCTACAGGAACCTCGGAGAATCTATGAATAAATGGAAGCATTAATTGTTTTGAACATATAAAACCATCAACTACTACAGCCGTGAAAAGAGAACATCGAAAGAACAGCCAGCATGGAAGTTTTACAGCAGTAATGTCACAGTGGAGTATTATTTGTAGTTAAGGTCATCCTCCTCCCCTTTCTGTTTTTTTAAATCAGGAACTGCAGTCTGCCCCTCTCTTGGACTTGAAACAGATCTAAGAAAAGCAGTCATCAATTATAATTAACTTTCAAAGGACAAGTCAGAAGTTGTTTATAAATTACAAAATAAATGCATATTATGAACTCATTTTCAGGTTATATGTTATTTTCTGTCTTTGAGCTTACTGTGGCAGCGCAGCACATATGAGGTTTACGTGAACCACTTATTACCACGTCTGGCTCATGGCGAGTGATCTCAGTGAATGACAGTTGTTTGCTGCTCAGAGTGTGGGGTGTTTTCTAAAATAGGAAGTGTCAGTATCAGTCTAAGTTTATTATAGAACAGTCAGTATGTGAAGATCAAAGGACCAAATGTCAACCTTACTTGGACTCTTGGTTCTCAATGGTAAGAGAAACAAATTTGAAAGAGGAAGGAGGTGCCATGAGGAGCTGAAAGCAGAGATGGAAATGGATGGAGTTAATGGGTGCTCAGTTTGTCATGAAGCAAACATTTTACTAGGTAGGAGAGGAAGCTTGAAATGCATGTAAGTTAATCTAAAATTTGAGCTTGGGTAGATGGGAATTATGGCAGTTCTCTGAAAGGAGCTGATTAAGGTGTTAATTTTTGGCTATTTGATAAATGTGAGAAAAAACCTGTAGGCAGTTAAAGTAGCTTCTAGAGCACTGTCTTCTAAGTTTTTAAATGTATACCCCAATTATGTATTTGTTTAGAAGTGAAATGTTACTTTTGAGTATTAAGTGTGTTATTTTAAATAGAATACAGATCTGTATGCACCATTTTTTAAAAGTGATTGGTTGAGAGGCCTTCAGAATCGAATGGCTTAATAGTCGCCTTCTGCTTAATTAATGTCCCAGGGGAGGCATTTAAAAGTATAATTGAAGATAGGATGCAGTGCCTCATACCTGTAATCCCAGCACTTTGGGAGGCAGAGGCAGCAGCCAGCCTGGCCAACATGGTGAAAGCCCGTCTACTAAAAACGAGTTGGGTGTGGTGGTGCATGTCTGTAATCCCAGCTGCTCCAGAGGCTGAGGCAGGAGAATCGCTTGAACGCAGGAAGTGGAGGTTGCTGTGATCCAAGATGTCACCACTGCACTCCAGCCTGGGTGACAGCACGAGACTCTGTCTCAAAAAAGTTAAAAAATAAAAAAATGTAATGTTTTCTCCCCTAACCTTAAAGATTGATTAAAGCACCTCACTTTGAGAACCATAGTTTCAAAACAATGTTCAAATAGAAGCCTAGGATTCAAGGGAGGACACTGTAAGGAAGACCATGGACTAGTGGCACTGGAAACAGTAACAAGTAAACATTGGGCTCACCTGTAAGTGATGCTGTAGGTAGGGATTTGGGCAAGGAATGAGTGCACAAGATAATCCGCGGGGACCGAGGATTCCTTCCATGTCATGGGCAGTTCTTGAGGCTTTGCAAAGTTTTATTGCCGGTGTGAAGACAGTAGTAAGGTGGACAGCAGAATGAGGGAAAAGATGTCCAGGGCCGTGGGAGAGGGCATAAGGACAGACCAATATTGGCAGTGATGGAGAAGTTGGGAAGAAGTGATTTAGAAGACCGTGAGCCAAAGCGAAGGATCTGTTTGTTGCAGTTCCGGCGGGGTTGTTCTGTTCCGCTTTTCTGCTTTCACTCTTTTCCTGGGGACTCTCTTTTCCTCCTGCCACACCTCTTAAACATTCATCTATGTAAATGGCATTCTCACGTTAAGGGCTGCAAAGAAATTGCTGAGGTTGCAAAGAAATTGCTAAGGAGCCAGGTAAACAGTTTTTGATTGCAAGCAACCTTCACCTTTGTGGCAAATGGTACAATCAAAAAACTCGCAGGCAGGTGTGGGCAACGCCAGCCCCACACGGAAGAACCGGGCACGTGGGGCGTGGACGGCTGCCTATTTTCTGCGCGTGCGCCCTTTAAGACCAGGAGGTGCAGCGGAAGCTCGTGGGCTTCACGTGACAGCGCTGAGTGCCTCAGTGCGGCTGCGCGGCCATGGACGTGGGTGCCAAGGAGTTCGAGGAGAGCCTCCCTCTGCTGCAAGAGCTTGTCCAGGAGTCGGACTTTGTGGGTGAGGCACCTGGGATTCCCGGCTGTGCGGGACAGAGCCCCTTGCCCCGGGCGAGTTTGGGGAATGGGTGGTGGACCAGGCCGCGGGGCCTCAGAAAGGGCCTGGGGAAGGACAGGGGGCTTCCTTCTCCGGCCCCAGGGGCGGTGGGACGTTGAGCAGCAAGTACACTCCGAGCCCCTCGTGCCTTGTTGGTCAGAGCCCGGTGCGCCCAGGTGCAACCCCGGGGTGGGGGCAGGGGAGGGGGCAGTGGCGGCTGGCTGCTCCTTGCCTCGGTTCCTCCTCACCTGGCTTCTTGAGCGCGGAGGTGAGCCCGGGTGCGTTGGCTGCCTGCAGATTGACTGTGTGAAGAGTGCTAGCGATGGTCTGCATCCGAGGACTGGTATTTTTTGCCTTCCGGCAGGTCTGGACATAGAATTCACGGGCCTTCGTTCTAACCTGTCTGGGCCCCAGCAGATCAGGTAAAACTAAAGCTGTGTCCGTTCTGTATGAGGCAAAACTAAAGCTGTGTCCGTTCTGTGTCCGATCCTGGCCAGACCAGCATCGTTTTGGTCAGCAGCCTGTTGGCATTTGGGGGGCAGGACGTTTTGTGTGGCTTGCTCCCACGTGTTGGGGGACCTGGCTTTTGGCCACAACATGCTGGTGGTGGTCCCTAGTTGTTGTAAAGAGGAAAAAAGGCTCCCCGGTTGAGAGTGGTGATCAGCCGCAGAGGCCATAGTGCGGGGCTGGTATGTCACTGCCCGTGGAATGAGATGCCTTTTGTTCACAGTCTTTTTGATTTGCCGTCGGAGTGGTATCTAAAGACCCGCCAGAGTGTTCAGCAATTTACAATCTGTCAGATTGGTGAGTTTCGTATCTAGATGTTTGAGTTTTTCAAGAAGATATTTTTATTGTCTTTGTGTTTTCTACTGTAAAAACAGCTCTGAGATTTTTCAAGGATATTGAGTATCTACAAAACGATACTCAATCTTGTTGCTTGTTTTGGGCCATTTTATACATATGGAATTAACACTTTGGAGCAAACAAAATTTAGCAGCATTGTTTCCATGCTTAAATAAGGCAGTGTTAAGGAACAGTTACTCTCTCAAGTAAAAATGTGTGTGTGATTTTTGTTTTTTGAGACAGGGTCTTGCTCTGTCGCCAAGACTGAAGTGCAGTAGCGCGGTTTCGGCTTACTGCAGCCTAGACCTCCTGGGCTCAAGTGATCCTAGCACGTTGACCTCCTGAGGAAATAAGGATTACAGGCTCAACACCACACCTAGCTAATCTTAAAATTTTTTGTTTAAGATGGGTTTTCCATCATGTTGCCCAGGCTGGTCTTGACTTTCTGGGCTGAAGCAATCCTGCCTTTGCCTCTCAAAGTGGTGGAATTACAGGCATGAGCTACCACACCTGGCCTATGATTTTTTTTTTTTTTTTAAAGATACACAGATAACCTTAAACAAGGTTATCTCAGCTTCAGAAACTTTTTTTTTCCCCCCTTGATGGGGTTTGGAGATCTTTATCAGCTCATACAGATCTGTTTGTTGATTTTATTTTTTGAGATGGAGTCTCACTCTGTTGCCCAGGCCTGAGGGCAGTGGTGCAATCTTGGCTCACTACAACCTCCTCTTCCCGGGTTCAGGCGATTTTCCTGTCTTAGCCTCCCGTGCAGCTGGGATTACAGGCATCCACCATCAGGCCTGGATAAGTTTTGTGTTTTTAGTAGTGACAGGGTTTTACCCTGTTAGCCAGGCTGGTCAAAACAGATCTGTTCATTTTGACAGTTGGATAATGCAGTTTCTTTTACAGCTACTCAATCCTGCTTTTGTAATGTGAAATTAGCTGTAGATAATACATGAGCAAATGAGCATGGCTCCATTCCAGTAAAATGTTATGTTTACAGAAACAAACCCTGGACCAGATTTTACTTTTCTGGGTTTGTCAGTGCCTCCCCCACCCACCAGATGGGGTTTTGCCGTGTTGCCCAGGCTGGGCCCAAACTTTTGGGCTCTGGAGATCCTCCAGTCTCAGCCTCTCAAGTAGAGGCTAAGATCCGGCTGCCATGTCCAACTCCTCCTTTTACTACGAATCATGCTGAACGTATGTGTTTTCCTCTCTAGCCTGATCCTTTGCTACTTTTCTGTTATTTTTTTTTGTTTATTTTTATATGGGAAACAGTTGTAGTTATGTTTCCATTGTTGTACCCAAATTTGAAGTCCCTTGTGGTTTGTTTGTTTGTTTTTGTTTTTTTTTTTGGTGGGGGTGGCTTTTTGAGAGGGAATCCTTCTCTTGTCTCCCAGGGTGGAGTGCAGTGGTGAGATCTCAGCTTACTGCAACACCCTTGCCTCCCAGGCTCAAGTGATTCTCCTGCCTCCACCTCCTGAGTAGCTGGGACTACAGGCATGCACCACCACACCTAGCTAATTCTTGCATTTTTGGTAGAGATAGGGTTTCACCCTGTTGATCAGGCTGGTCTGGAACTCCTGACCTCAAGTGATCCATCTGCCTAGGTCTCCCACAGTGCTGGGATTACAGGCGTGAGCCATCACACCCAGCTTGAAGTCTCTTACTTTATGTATGATTTTCTTTGAGAGGGGAGGAATAGACATTTTAAATGAGTTAAATACATAAATCTTAATGGTTTTTGATATTTTCTCTAGTTAGTTTTAAAACTGTGAGAATGTCACTTTAATATTTACTTCTATAATTGAAGAAGAGGCCACAAATTACATTTTAGCAAATTCAGTGTGAATTACAGTTTGACATTTCTCATGCTTCCATTCTGTTCTTTGTTGGTCATTAAAGATGTTATCACGTTGGACAGCTCGCGTAGTATCTGGGCACAAAGTACCGTTTGAATTGTCTTGTCTGTGTAGTGAAACTGAGGTTGCTTTTCTTTGGCATTCATTCCCTTTGTGGTCGTTCTTCCAGGATTGTCTATGTTCTCCGCTATTGAAGGAGAAGCAAACAAGTATGTATCCAGAGCTTCTGCAAAGGATGTTGCTTGCCCACCCATGTTCCACAGCTGCCCCCTTCACATTCTGCCTCAGGTGCCCCAACCACTTTGGCCCTGGGTGTTC